GTAATAGTGACCCACCAGTGTAGGTAGGTATTCATAATGAGGTATAGTAAGGTTGAATAAGATTTAATAGTGTGCCACCAATGTAGGTAGATATTAATGATTAAATATTTCAAGACTAGATGGTATATAAAAGTTGCCCACCTGTGTATGTAGGTGTTAAAATAAGATATGTTAAGGATATATAGGATTTAAAAGTGGGCCATCAGTGTAGGTATTGGTAAGTATTAATTATTGAATATTTCAAGTCTAAATGGTTTGTTATAATGGCCTACCAGTGTAGATAGTTTTTAATTATTAGATTTTTGAGGACTATAGATGGTATATAATAGTGGGACACCAGTGTAGGTAGGTATTATAATGAGTCAATGAGATAATTTAAGGCTAAATAGGATTTAACAGTGGGTCACCAGTGTAGCCTAGGTAGGTATTAATGATAAGATATTTCAAGACTAGATAGCATGTAATGGTGGCCCACAAGGGCAGGTAGGTACTATAATGAAATATGCTAAGGCTAAATAGGATTTAAAAGTGGGCCACCAGTGTAGGTAGGTATAATTTAATAATTAGATATTTCAAGACTAGATGGTATGTAAGGCTCCCACGTTTACAATTTTTTGTAAACGTTTACACGATTGCTAAGAACCAAAACGATACCGTTTAAACGGTGGTACTACTTTGTACTATACTACCATAGTAATACCATGCATTCAAGTCTCCAAATGATGACTTACTTTTTATTTACAAATAATTTAATGTTCAGGGCCTATCACGATTGAATCAACACACATTTTCTGCATTGTATCCTCATTTCGCTCTTTTGAAAGATCAAAAGATAATCAACTTTACCAATGTATTATGTAACGATTAGTGCAGGTGTGTGGAGGGTTGTAAATACCTATTTTCTGTATTTTACTTTGGAATAAACCAATTACAATTGATAGAATTCATGATTACAGGCAATGATTAAGATATTTTGTAAGACAATATGGTCATTTCGATTAAACGGTAAAAATTATCGTAAACGTTTTCGATTGAAAATCGAAACGAATCCGTTTAAACGCGTAACCGTGGGGGCCTTAATGGTATGTGATAGTAGGCTAGCAGTGTAGGTAGGTATTTTTAATTTTATAATACTGCATGTTTGAAACGTGGCTTTTCATTAAATAATTGTGACGTTTATATAGTTTTATATACACCGCTGTTGTTGATTGAATCATTCATAAAGAAATCTTACTTTTTTCTCTAAAAATGATGCTTGCAGTATTATAAATTTGTGATAAAGATTGCTGAAAGGTTATATGGCCGTATATAAATGGCTGTTTGCAATATAACCCTTGCTTAGCAGGTTGGGTTATATTTACAAATAGCCGTTTATATAGAGCCATATTACCTGTCAACAATCTTTAAAACTAATAATAATATATTGCAAGACTAGATAGAAGGTAATTGTGGCCAAGAAGTGTAGGTAGGTATTTAAATTAGATATTTCAAGGCTAGATGGTATGTAATAGTGGGTCACCAGTGTAGGTATATACAGTAGATTCATGTAAGTGACTCAGATATAGCTGAAACTTTTGGCTCGCTGTACGGCTAGATATTTCCTTTCATTTTTTCCTTTAGCCTCATCAGTCCAGAGCTCTTAAAGACATAAGCAAAACATGATACCAACAGATCATATTTTATCATATTTTATCTTACAAGGCAAATTGAATCACATGATTATTATACAAACAAAACATTGTAATTGGTCGGCAATTCACGTATTGCTAAAAGGCTGAAATATCTTTGGGCCGATTTAGTTTTGGGACGAAACGTCCTATTGAAAGTGTCATGAAATTAACATATACTGTATAAAAAGCAGTAAATAAACTAAGCAGCAAAAGTACTTACAGCTTACGCCCTTCTTCTGATTTTTCCTTGCCACAGATCGGACACTGTTCAAAGATTCAAGTTGTAAAATCATTTTTTCAGCTTCATCGTCGCTTTTTGCTATTGCAGTAGCCATGTTGGATGTAGAGGGCGGAGTTACGGTTTTTACCGTAACCTTACGGTTTCTACCGAAACCTCTCCTCACTGGTGTCCCCGTAAAGTACCTACCGCTAACGGTGGGTCAATAGCGATTACCTACCGTACTTCTGGTTGAATTATATATTTTTAAAACGACAAAGACTTCTTTAACAAACAATTTAAGCTTATGCGTCAAAATATTGAAATAAAAACAGTTTTCACCAGTATTTTCTTGTTTATTTATTACCTTTATTTTGCTTCCGGGTTTGTTTGTGTATTGGTGGAATTTTTATGTCGTGAAAATCACAAAATGTGTACATCACTAATTTTTACATTTAGGTATAAACACACTAAAAGTTGAATTCGACGTTAATGAAACACTATTTGCGTGATTTAGTCCTGGGACATTTTTTTGTTCCACTTTAGTCCAACTAATTAGACTTGTTAAGAAGACATAGAGATAATTTTAGACGGGCTATGTCTTTTTCACAGTAGAAAAAAGTCCGATAAAAAACACTATAAACCGTTCCAGACAAAGGTACCCCCCCCCACCACCACGACTAAATAAGCGCCACGTACGTATCTTCTCGTCCAGTAACATTTCAAACTTTATGTTAAGTGCTTTATATTTGGGGAGCTGAGACTGAATGAGTAATGTTTTCATTTCCCCGGTATTCTGCGAACCATAACACTTATATAATAACCGGTATTAAAACAGTTTAAGTTGAAATTGTAGTACGTGTCCAGCTTTGTACTTGTCCAAATATATCCCCGCATTGTACACTTAAATGTTCATTACATAATTATGATTATTGTTTGGTATTTAATAAAGGACTGAGCAGAAAGATGTGTCAGTATTCGTGCCTTGAGGCAAGCTGCGGTTATTATATATGAAGAATTATGTACTTTTAATTCCTTTAATACTATCACTATAGTAGGGCTATATTCAATATTATTTTATAGTATTTTATACTATCATACTATATATATAATGATCAAAGAGACGCAACTCTTATAGTAGAAAACCTCTAGTCAAAGTTGCAGATAACTTGTATTGTATTTTTGAAAATTAACTGAATGTACATTTTATCAATATATACTTATCCTTTTTGAATTGATAACGTTCTTCTGTTAAAAATTTCATGTCTGTTTTTCATGCATTGTACATTAGCTATATATGTAAACTAATATTATGCTGATAAACTATATGTTATGTTATGATATTTCCCATGATTCCCTGTAACACGTATTTCCGCCTAAAAGTTTGCAGATCCAGCGCACTTTGAATTAGTAAAATAAACAGTCAAGACACACTTCGTCTTATAATTATAGTTGTTTATATCATGATTTAGATGTCATTGGACTATTGTGAACTATTGTCCATACACAGTACCAAACATTACAATATCAATATAATTAAACGGCATGATTTGTTAGTGAAACAGTCGATTATAAAAAGTTGGCCAATATTAACGTCAACAAGAAAACATCGTCGAATATGTAAGTTCAATATTTTACGGTGTTCCGTTTGGACAATCGTGAATTTTTAATCCGTATGTACCCGCGACGTACGATGTTACGATGGTGAAAACGTGATAGAATACCGCGTTTTCACAATCGTACAATCGCGCCATCGCGATTTTACCATCGTACCATCGCGTTTTCATCATCATACCATCGTGTTTTCACCATCGTACCATCGCGTTTTTACCATCGTACCATCGCGCATCAAGGGAACAATCGAAATAAAAAAATCACGATTGTCCAAGCAGAACACCGTAGATTATTGATATATTCATCCATCATTATAACTCGTTCCTTACATTCGCCATTCATTAAATATTTAGATTATGATTACATTGGTCTATGGCACACACGATATCACAGTACGTGATGATTTGTATGGCTGTCGAAAATGTATCAGTTATGAAAGGAATTGAAATGGAACAATTACGACTGATAATTTTACAATTACTTAAATAATGATTAGTTAAATATACATTTGTATTTGTATTTTTCACATAAGTTTGAACCTCTCTGAATAAGAATGAATTTTCTTCGTTTTATAAGTTTTCTTTCCCATAAAGGAGAGCACGTGTACGTTTTGGTTGAATGCTAAATCAGAAACGCTAAGCATTCTCTTCGATAAGGCGAAACTCACACAAAATGGGAGTCAGCTTAAGTGATTTTTTTTTATAAAGACCACCATTTACATGATAAACAGGCAATGACCTTACTCCAATTACGTAATATTTCGGAAATTTTTGGGGGTTTAATTGGAGAGCACGTGTTTTTTACAAAAATTGCTGGGGGATAAATGATTAGAAAATTTTTCTTTTCCCTTTGCAAAATGCAAATATTTTTATTTTTAATGTTTTTGTTTAAATTTTTGGGAAATTTGGTGCGCAGTTCGTTTAAGTTTTTCAATTCTTTCTTTTTCATATAATGTACAACTGTCCATAATAACACTAGCGTGTTTTAATTAAAATTTCTTGTTGGAATTTTGTTCTAATGTTGTTCTGTTTTTGTTTGTTAGTTTTCGTTGTTGATTTTTTTTGTGTGCGTGTTTGTTTGTCTATATAATTATCTATTGTAAACTGTAGCATACGACTTTAAATCTTGAATTTTCCGTCCATGTTATCATTTCTACCACTGAGATAATGGCAGCTAGGGTTCGCTTTACCGTAGCTCTAAACTTTCAATGGGTAGAGAATGGTTAAACTATATTGACGTCACGAATTTACTCCAGTCCAACCCTCATCATATGTGCGGTCTCTCTGGTTAAAAGTACTGACGATCACAGAAACTGGACATGTGCAGTGCATGACTAAAGCCAAACAATAGTTAGTGCCCGAACCCAGCTAATGGTCACTTTTTCAATTGGCGAAGTTGTCCAAACTAATGATGAGTGCACTATACGAACGTACTCATTTTCAATCGTGAAATTTCACGTGGAGAAAAGAAAAGAACAAATTGTGACGAGATTGTGTTTGTTATTTTTTACAACTGGTTTTACAAGCTGATATAAAGAACAAAAGGACTCCGCCGGTTGCCATTGTAAGTCCAGCAACAATGAAGGGAGATGCATAACTTCCTGTCTTATCGTACAGCAGTCCTTAAATATAACAAAGTTATAATAAGAAGAGTGAACGTATCTATATTAAACCGTAATTTTATATATATCAGAACATAAAAAATAAAATATTTCAACATTTAATGTAAGAAATAAAGGAAGGAAGAAAGAAACAATAAAAAAACCCCAATAACATAGGAGAAGAAGAAATAACCAAACATAAAACAAACAAAAAAAACAGAGAAACCCACATCCCAAACCATAAAAACAAACAAACAAACTTACAAACAAATAAACTAACAAAACAACAAACAAACAAACAAAACTAAACAATCACTGAAGGTGATTAATACACACAGCAGCAGCATTGACTTTTTGAAAAAAGTGGTCTGAAGAAAAATTTGAAGTTAACCTAAAGTAAATGAAGTATATTATGTACAAAAAATATTTCATTTAATTGCAATCCCAACCGGGGTCTTCATATTAGCTTGCTACACACCACGTTTGATTAAAATTCTTATTCCTAATTCTAGTTATTAACCTATAACCATTTTTCTACTTTTAGTAACGGTGACCTTGATAGTGATCCCAGGTTGTACAATGCAATATCTACTGGGGTCTTCATATAAGCTTTCTATACACCAATTTTGATTACAAACTCTCATTCTTAACCCTAGTTATTGTTCGATAACCATTTTTCTACTTTTAGTAACGGTGACCTTGACATTGACCCCAGGGTGTGCAAATGCAATATCAACCGGAGTCGTCACATAAGCTTGCTATACACCAAGTTTGATTACAATATCTCATTCCTAACTCTAGTTTTTATCCGGAAACCATGTTTCTATTTAAAGTAACAGGCACCCTGGCCTTGATCGCAGGGTGTCCAAAAGATATACCAATTGGGTTCTTCATATAAGCTTGCTATACATCAAGTTTGATTACAATGTCACATTCCTAACTCTAGTTATTTTTATGAAAAACAAGAATAAAGATCAACAAGGCAAAGGCAACGTTCACAAGACGCGGCCCCGACACACTAAAAAAACCTGGAGCGGACATAAGGGTAAAAGGAGTGGGACATGTAATGTGAAATAATATAAACTAAAACAAGCCCATGAGGGAATAAAAGGGATAAGGGCTTTAAAGGTTAAAATGGATGAGGGGGGATTGAGAAAATACCTACCGTCAACGACAATCCAACAAGACAGACATCACAACACATGTAAACATCCAAAACAAGTTACAATACAGACATGAAAAACACGCGAAGGAACACAGAGGGGTGCCGCCTTGTAACGGTCAGTGGTAATTAAACCACTTGGGAGTTTAAACCGGTTTTAGGCGCGCCAAACCTCACTCTTAGGCCCCAATATGTTCCTGAATGAGATAAAAGTGTAAATAAAATTAATCCCCGCCAAGTGAAATTCTAACAATGGTCATGGTTACATTAGACGAAATAAATAAAACACATACAAAAATATGTAGAAAAAGGTACAGCCTAATAACCATTACCAAAGTACTCGATGCCTTAAAGGAAAGCAGAGCAACAAGAAAATCACCTACAAGGGCCCGACGAAGCAAGACAGAAGACGAACATTCAGAAGTAATTAAAAGAGGTAAGCGTAGCGTCCAACTGTTAAAGGTTTGAACACCAAGCATGCGGTATGCCTTAAATTAATTGGGTCATAACCTCTTTTAATAAACCGTTTGATAATTTTAGTGAAACCATTTTTCTATTTTTAGTAACGGTGACATTGACCTTGACCCCAGGGGATGCAAAGGCATTTCCAACCAGAATTTCCACATAAGGTTCATATATATATATATACCAAGTTTGATTACACAACCTCATTTCAAACTCTAGTTATCGTCCATAAGCCATGATGTGGACCGACGGACGGCCGGACTGACCGACCGACTGACCAACAAGCTGACACCTATATACCCTTTGTAGGGGTATAACGACACCAAAAACAACCACAACAACAACAACAAAACAACAACAACAAAAAACAATAACATACAAACCTAATAAAGGCGGACCAATTAATGCCCCTATTCCACAGAACATACTGTTAAGCCCCATTGCGTCTGATATTTTGTCTAGACCAACAATGTCGACGAGAACGACCGATGTTTGAGATAGCATCACAGCTGGTCAAATAGATATCATAAATGGTAGTACATGTAACAGTGTGCAAAATACCTACTTTCATTGGCGTCTTAACATAGCCCTGCCTTTTACAGTGTTTTTAATAAAACAATACATTTTAAAATCTAAACTGGAGTTGATTTCTATATTCAATCATACATACATATCCTTTATATCATTTTAAATACGACTTTGTACAAATGGTGTGACATAAACATTGATACAGTATGCAAATATACCTTTTAAACGAGGTTATATTCGGTCGTATTGAATTATAATCGATAAAATATCACTATCACTTAATATTTTGTCGACACACGTGTTTTGATTTTGAAAAGAAAATGAAATTTCATTAAGGATGGATACAGCATGATAAATTGACTGTCCTCATATCCCATTCAGCAACTCTCAATAATGAATATGACGAAAACAATATTGAACGTTCATAATTTTCATATAAAACAATACACCACTGTGGGTAAGAATACCGCCAGAGACTATCGTGTGAGGAGGATCTTAGATAGCTTACGTGATGATGGTGGTTTTACTCAGGTGCCCGTTCGTGCCTGAAATAATGCAAACAGAGGAAGTCGAAGTCTTCCTACACCAGTAAAGCTGGAATATCGCCATATGATCTTACAAGTGTTGGTGCGTCGTAAACCCCGAACAGATATTATAAGAAGAATATAAGAATCTTACACCGGCTGCCGGTACAGACCGGAATATCTTGCTCGAGGGTAACTGTTTACAGCAGTAACGAGGCTCTGCCGAGTTTCCGCTAAACAGTTACCCGAGAGCAAGATATTCCGGTCTGTACCGGCAGCCGGTGTTTGATTCTTATTCTTGCATATTACATGTCAATTATTTTCGGAACAGAAATTATGAAAAATGATATTCTCATTACGCACTTTTTTCTTATAGAAGCGTATGAACATACAACTTCATTCATAACGGAAAAATGACGTCGTTTAAGAACGCGATTCATTCATAAAAGGCGCGCGTCAATGACGTCATTTAAAGCACGCGACTTGTCTTACAAGGGGGTGTAAGACAGAGTTTTCCAATCTCCACACAGTGATCTCCCCTTAATTCTTCGGCGTAGATCTCTGCCACCAAGGTCCCAATATATCAGAATTTCTGATATACTATATTTTTTCAAAAAATGTTTTATTTACTACTTTTAACTATCAGTTAAGTTTTTTTCTCATTGATTAAACAATGTTTATGGATAAATAAATAAATAATATGAATATTTAGAAATAATTTAAAAAATATGAGAATATTTTCTACCGAGACAATATTTTGATATTTTATATTTTTTAGCTTTTGAATTTATTTTTCGTTATTTTGTATACTTTTGATAATTTTTTGATAAACTATATCGATCGTAGGCACTAAAAGTTAAAAAATAAAACAGAAAGAGAAAAATGACGTTAGATTTTCTATGTAACGGTCGATATTTACATTTGAATTTCGACGTTACGTCATGTGACTTTCATCATCATGTGACGTCTTTGAAGGCAGTGATTACAATTCTGCCAAGGGAGGTAATCACTGTGAGGAGTTTGAGAGTTTTCTAGCACCGGTGTAAACGGTAGATAATCCTGTCTGAGATGCAAGAATACACATTTCTTGCATATCAGACAGGATTATCTACCGTTTTCACCGATGCTAGAAAACTCTGTCTTACACCCCCATGTTAGACAAGCCGCGTGCGTTAAATGACGTCATTGACGCGCACCTTTCATGAATAAATCGCGTTCTTAGGATGACGTCAATTTTCCTTATGAATGAAGTTGTATGTTAAGAAAAAAGTGCGTAATGAGAATATCAGTTTTCATAATTTCTGTGCCGAAAATAATTGACATGCAATATGCAAGAAAAAGAATCAAACACTGGCTGTCGGTGCAGGCGGGAATATCTAGCTTTCGGGTAACTGTTTAGCGGACACTCGACAGAGCCTCGTTACCGCAGTAAACAGTTCCCCTCGAGCTAGATATTCCGGTCTGTACCGGCAGCCGGTGTAAGATTCTTATAGTATTTATGAACGAGTTTAAACAATTTATGCGATATAGACTTTCAGAAATTATCAAATCCGGACATTCTCCGTGGGCGATAAAGCAGATAAGGTGTGCTGTACACACCTGTAGAAGATCCGTATAATGTAGCAAATATTATCAAGGCAGTGTAACTCTTCAACACAGGAACCAAGGCAGTGCTGACTCCAGCAAGCACAAACGCTACCTTGTAGAGTAAAAATCTGCAAATATAAAATATTTCAGACAGCTCACAGATTTTATCAATAAGAGTTATTTTAATTGCGTAGTATTCATCTCCCCAACTCCATGAATTGAAAACTGAAGCCAATGATGTTTTGTTTTGTAAGCCCATGAACTGACGCAGTTAAGACATTCTGGATTTTTGTTTTACCTTCCTATGGTTGCATTCAAGGGAAAACCATGTCTAATAGTCATGGCAAAACAAAGTGACCTTGTAAAAAGTCCTTGCGATTTAATAATTTATTGTAGATCACAACGACAGAATATAAATCAATATATCTATAATCAGTTATTTTACCTATTCATACATGGTCTGTCCGACACATAACCGAGAGCAATACGCCCTATAACAGTTGATATGCCTATAGTTGATATAATCCAAACAGATTTTGACTCATCGATCCCTGAATGAATAAACGTATACCTTTTACTATGATATCGATTTCAATAAATAATTAATAAGAAATAAAAGTTAATGTATTTCTTTCTTCTGAATATTCTAGACTTTGTCAATGACAATATGTAAAATACAGACACATCAGTTTATTCATTAATATATTAACTCTTACTACTTTAGAAAAAAAAAATTTATTAGCGTTTAACACCAGCCTTTATATCGAGGGTTGATTGCAAACTATTGTAAGTCATTTTTTATTTCATATAAGTAACTGTAGTTTTGCGGTCAACCCTCGATAAACAGCCGGCTATAAATTTCAAATGTTAAAAGATTAATCACTGTACTCACCTAGTTCCAGTGATATACAAGGTATCCCTAGCAACGGAATATAAAACCCAAATAAGAAAAGAACTTGTGAGGCATAAAACAGCTTTAGTTGGTTATTCCGTAAGATCTTCAGAAAGGAAATGTGTGTACAACAATTGCATTGAATGGAACTTGAAGCATCGGACCTAGATTGTGCGATGTGTGTTTTCTTGATTGAGCTTGATTGGTCAATTATTGGAAGCATAATTTCATGTTCTACATTACCGACAGCACTGTCGCTGTCACAATTCACATGTTCAAATTTATCAAATGTATTAATGAGATCCTTTTCAACTTTAGAAGATTTTTTAACACACATAATGTCATCGTTTATTTCTTCTGTAGTATCATTATGTTTTGTTAGGGCAACGTATGTACACATATCTTCATCGTCAGTACGTTCAATTTCACCTTCGTTAACAATTATTTTGATTTCTTTGTCTTCCTGAGTTAGTAATCCGTTTGTAAATACCAAAGAGCACGGTACACAGTTTAACAACAGTGCCGAGGATATTAGCAGGGTTCCACGCCATGCATGTTCCTCTACAAGACACTCGATAATAGGGCTGTAAATTGAAGTGGCAGAGACTGAATATGATTGTATTATTTATTTACTTTCCCTTCGTGATATTCAAGAATATTTATGCAAAAAGGTTTAAAATTCATACAGTGATGTCGTTTTTAAAATGCATATCACCAGGAACAAAAATAAATCCATAGATGTAACCTTCAAACTTTTTGTAAAAGTATAAACAACTGTGAAGATTCCAAGGAAACAAACAACCCACACCAAAATAAGAAAGTGATACAAAGAAACAAAAATACATAAAAACTTACAAACTGAATTGTAAAGATTTAAAGAATTGTTACAGATTACATTGTAACCATATGAACGGACAATTATTAGAATCGATAGATCCCTTCTCCGACCTTTCATTTGAATAACGATAGATTAAACCAAACACATTGCTCTTTTGTTTACAAATATGTTGTGGTGAAATTCTTGTTGTATCCACAAATCAGATAATTAGAATTGAACAGGCTTGGGATCTATGCATTAGAAGACGTAACTAGAGCTTCAAGCCACATTTTTAGTTAACATGTACACAGGAACAAAGCATACGGCAGCTAAAGCCTCAAGCCACATATTTAGATACCATGTACATAGCAACAAAGCATACCTTAAAATAAAGGCGGCAGCTCCAGCACCGGAAGCTGCTACACCACAAGCAAGTGCCCGGTGTTTCTTGAAATATATTGTTGGCTCAACAACAGCTGGTATGAATATCAGACCATAACCAATTCCTGAAAATATATATGAAAAATGTAAAGGCATTATTCTGGATGGACTACCTCAAAACTAAATAATTCCGATTTTTTGTTGCATATTCCATTGCATTGTTTGTAAGACTAAACAGTCCACATGGAGCGGAAAAGATAAACTTGATACATGTATAATCATTAGGTATCCATTGTGTATTTTTAGCAATTAAGTATTCAATAACATTACTTATAGGTTATTCAGTGACTAGTTTGTACTTAAAGGTTACATATATCTTAATAACACATTAATAACACAATTTATAAATTATAAAAGAATTACACAAATATCAATTTCACAAATAATTTATTAAAAACGAATTACATAAACAATTAATAACATGATATAGATAAAGCAAAGTTTTAAATGACACGCCATATTGGCGCGTTACCTGTGAGTAGTCCAAGTGAAAGGTACATAAAGTTAACGTTGGATGCAAATACTGTAAGGAAACAGCCAATGGTAGATACAACTGACCCTGTCACCGCAACAAGACGGCATCCATGACGTCGAATATATACACTTGCCAGGGGACCTGCAATGCAATATGAGAACAAAGATCACCAAGTGAAGGCAAGGAGATGCTCACAGAAAACATAACCCAATCACATTGGACGGGCACTCAGAACATACAACCCAGCCACATTGGAAGGGCACTCAGAAAACACAACCCAGCCACATTGGAAGGGCACTCAGAACACACAACCCAGCCACATTGGAAGGGCGCACAGAACACACAGTCAAGCCCCATTGAAAGGGCGCACAGAACACACAGTCAAAGCCACATTGGAAGGGCGCACAGAACACACCAGTCAAGCCATATTGGAAGGGCGCACAGAACACACAGCCAAGCCACATTGGAAGGGCGCACAGAACACACAGTCAAGCCACATTTGAAGGGCATTTAGAACACACAACCCAGTCACATTGGAAGGGAACTCAGAACACACAACCCAGCCACATAGGACGGGCGCACAGAACACACAACCCAGCCATTTTGGACGGGCATTTAGAACACACAACCCAGTCACATTGGAAGGGCACTCAGAAAACACAACCCAGCCACATTGGAAGGGCACTCAGAAAACACAACCCAGCCACATTGGAAGGGCACTCAGAACACACAACCCAGCACACTTGGAAGGGGCACAGAACACACAGCCCAGCCACATTGGAAGGGCGCACAGAACACACAGTCAAGCCACATTGGAAGGGCGCACAGAACACAAAGTCAAGCCACATTGAACGGGCACTCAGAAAACACAACCCAGCCACATTGGAAGGGCGCACAGAACACACAGTCAAGCCACATTGGAAGGGCACTCAGAACATACAACCCAGTCACATTGGAAGGGCGCACAGAACACACAACCCAGCCACATTGGAAGGGCGCACGGAACACACAGCCCAGCCACATTGGAAGGGCACTCAGAACACACAACCCAGCCACATTTGAAGGGCAGCACAGAACACACAGTCAAGCCACATTGGAAGGGCGCACAGAACACACAACCCAGCCACATTTGGAAGCGCACAGAACACACAACCCAGCAACATTGGAAGGGCGCACAGAACAAACAACCCAGTCACATTGGAAGGGCGCACAGAACAAACAATCCAGTCACATTGGAAGGGCGCACAGAAACAACACAACCTAGGCCACATTGGAAGGGCACTCAGAAAACACAACCTAGCCACATTGGAAGGGCACTCAGAAAACACAACCTAGTCACATTGGAAGGGCGCACAGAACACACAACCTAGCCACATTGGAAGGGCGCACAGAACACACAGTCAAGCCACATTGGAAGGGCGCACAGAACACACAACCCAGCCAAATTGGAAGGGCACTCAGAAAACACAACCTAGCCACATTGGAAGGGCGCACAGAACACACAGCCAAGTCACATTGGAAGGGCGCACAGAAGGCACCGAACCAAGTAAGATGGACATGAAACAATATATTGCATGAGAAAAACTGCGAGTTTTATATAATATGCGCATTTACTGAAATAAACAATAATCTTAATCAATTAAAAAATCAGCTAAATTGACTTTAAACTTTTTCTTTAACTATTCTGGTATTAGATATATAACTTATAATGTTTGAAAGGTCATTTTGAACTTTACATTATTTAACTTATCATATTCATAACACAAACACAAAACATAACAAATGTTTACTACCATGTTTGAAAAATATTTCTAATGATCCTAGAGTCAAAAGGGGCCCTCCACGGGGCCCTTCAGTTTTTAAACTTTTGTTTCAGTTTTATAGAAGAACAAAAACAGAATAAATATATCAAGCATAAAAAGAAAATATATGATTTATCGGGACATACGATGATCATCACAGTGTCAGTGTAATATCAAACATATATATAACTTCGTGACCGATTTCTCATTTACCGTTGAATGTCACCTTGTGCACATTTGTACAAGGTGAATGTCACATTCAAAAATCCATTTTTTTTTCAAGTATCCGAATACGCTTTTATACCGTAGACTCAGTCACGTTTAAGAATGGCATAAGACGGTTAACATGTGTACTTTTTAAATCTATGTATCATGTTTATATCACATGATCTGCTTTAAGATTTCGTTTTGTTTCGTAACAGAGAGGGCGTCGAAACACGAGGCTATCTGATTTGTACGAGGGGCGTAGTCCCCGAGTATAAATCAGTTTGCCGAGTATACTATTTCAATGCTGGAACCCATAAATTTTCTAATGTTCAAACAATGGTTTTAGAGAATGGTATATGCTTGTAAATAACAGACAAAATGTTAAAATGTAGTATTTCACTTGCCTTACAAAGTACCAACTCAATATAACTGTACTTATTCCCAAAAAGCAACGGGTGAAACGGAACCTTCAGGTAATTGACCAATGAGTAACTTTTTGCATGCTATGAAAAACATGCACATTACAACGCTTTTGAGAAGTAAAAAATAAAGCATTTCTGAGGAATAATTGGCCTTTAAGATAATTAATACCTGAAAGATATAAAGCGCCGCACATCAGTGATGCTATCCATGATGTTTCCGCTTTTGAACTTCCAAATGTTTCCTCAAAGCTTATAAATAGAATGCCAAAGGAATACACAATTCCTTGTGTTAGAAAATGAGTTGTAAAAGCGGCGAAAACAACTACCCAGCCACGCAACCCATCCTGCTCGATAGAGGTCTTGTGTTTCACTTGACGTTGTTGTGTTAGACTTTGTTGTGTTGACTTTGTTGAATTCATAACACGATGTGTGCTTATATTTAGTGTAGACAAATGATATTATACACAGTTATTCGTCTGTTTTAGAAAAGAGCAATTCAAATATCACATATTCCGTACGTCACTTTTTTTACACATGCTTATTTATTGCACTTATGATAAACCTTTTAAATAAATTTACAAAAACACTATATCAAAACGGTACATATTTGCTGCTGTGTAAAGCTGGTCATTTACTCCGAATAATTTTTTTCAATCATGTATATTGATAAATATACATGTGTATTGAAAAATCGATCGTAAAGAATAAAAGACGATATTTTCTTATACGTACAATATACATGATCATTATGCATGACGAATAACTAGCACACCTTATCATGTTTGATGTAATTAAAATCAGTTTTTCTTTTAGATAAGACACACATTATAAACTATGGAAAATTTCTTTACATAAGGCACAGTGTGTTCAATTAAATCAGTTGCTTGTCCCATAAACCTCGTACACATAACTATTTTTCAAAGCAACTTCTGTTTCATTGTACCACAATAATTGTTACGTACCACGCGTGACAAATAAAATATTTCATTACATTCTTTACAGTATACATGTACAGTAAAATCATTTTCATTTTATCTCACTGTGAAATTATCAAAAATATAAATAGCCCGGGACTTTATCTACGAAATATGTTATTGAAATGAAAATAAGGAAGAAAAAAGTGGGAATTTGGTCGGCCAGAAATACTTTCCGCAAGTAAGTAAAATGTGCCTGATTACGAGAATCACAAGAATATATGCACATGTTATGTTAAAGTAGCAGGTATCGAGATTCATGTTAATTTTCATGAAAATTTTGGAATTGTATTGTAATATGTTGTGAGTTGAACAAAAAAAGTAATTAACATATTTCAATCAACACTTACAATCCAAGAAAATTGCCAAAAAGTCGTCAACATATGCACAAATAGCCCATACTGTCGTCAATAAAGCAGTAAAATACGGTAATAAAATACTGCAAAATCTTTCCGCACATAATATGAAAAATATAACTTGGATCTTGAATGTTTTAGTAACATTTTTCTCAATATTGATTTTCTTTAAATATTTTTGGCTCCACTGGAGGCGTGCAGCTTTAAAAAATTAATATATTTTTCATTCTCTATAAAGGATTGATATGTGCGAGTATCCTATAATGACGTAAATTCGATGAAGAACATGTGAGATCTTATCACCTCAGGAAAATAGTACTATATTTTGAAAACATTTGTCATAAAGGTAGTAAAATGTAAACAAAATGGCACTTTATCATAACTAAGCCCAATTAAATCTCACCAATGAAGCATAAAGTTCTGACAGATATTTACATTATTCAAATGTTATCGACTGACCTATTTTAGGAAACTTGAGTCGATGACCCCAATGAAAATGCTTCATATTAACATCTGCTGGGCGAACACTTGCATAGAATTATGTTCGCAGAAGACTGATTTTTTTGTCATTTTTTGACACTTTTCTAAAACAACGTTTTATTGGCCTTCATATTCACGTGCAAATTTTAATATTTTATGATGTACAACAAACTAAATTTTAGTAAATTTTTCATTATTTACGTTATAGCTGCACGCCTCCAGATGAGCCAAAATATTACAAGAAAATCAATATTGAGACAAATGTACTAAATTTTTAAGAAAGGTAAAAGCATTGAAGATCAAAGTTTTTTTTACTGTCGCACAAAAGCGCTGAAAATTGTTTCCTTGAACGGCTTTCAGCGCGTTATTCATTCTTGCCGATGAATGGCTGTCGGTGTTATCAATAAAATACGGAATGCCGTTAGGGCCATCGCCTATGAATGTGTTGATCTAAAACGCGATAGTCGATGGTACGATGGTGAAAACACGAAATCACGAAACTACGATGGTGAAAACGCGATAGTACGATGATGAAAACGCGATAGTACGATGGTGAAATCACGACAGTACGATGGTGAAAACGCGATAGTACGATGATGAAAACACGACATTACGATGATGAAAACGCGATAGTACGATGGTGAAAACGCGATAGTACGATGGTGAAAACGCGATAGTACGATGATGAAAACACGACATTACGATGATGAAAACGCGAAATCACGAAACTACGATGGTGAAAACGCGACAGTACGATGGTGAAAACACGATAGTATATCGCGCTTTCATCATCGTAGTATCGAACTGTCGCGTTTTCATCATCGTACTTTCGCGTTTTCATCATCGTGCTTTCGCATTTTCACCATCGTAGTTTCGTGATTTCGCGTTTTCACCATCGTACTATCGACTATCGCGTTTCAGATCAACACATTCATAGGCAATGGCCCTAACGGCATTCCGTAATAAAAGGAGGCGAACGGCTGACGACGTTACTAAAATTTGATGACACTCGAACTTCAATATCCTATAATTTCAACAGAAAAGCATTTTTGAAGATATAGTTTGGAATATTTAATGACGTTGACGTTTACGAATCGTATGATAAAACGTTTTGTTATCATGAGAAAATATAAGTCTTTGTGACTTAATAATAAAAATGCCGCATCTCATCGGATAGTGTGGTTATTTTCAGTCAAAATTCACGTGAAGTAAAGCTTGCACGGGACCAGAAATTTGTTAGTATGCTCCTTGTGATGTTGACTATGAATCCATAACATTGATTAACTCGACTACAGCTGGGATATGTTAAAAATAAATGAATACTTACCGTCCGTCAATTGTATTTCGTGCGCCTACATATATATACTGGTACAGCTGTCGACGTTTAAACTGCTGTCCGCCCATTTGATTGTACGGTGTGATTATAATACACAACGAAACATGGACCGACGACACCATTGAAAATGCCTAATAAGAGCTATTAACTATTTACATGGCTTTGGCTGATAAACCGCACTTAAACTTGTATAGAAAGCTTTGACAGTCTTATAATTATAAACCTAAACGTTCTTTTGTCCAAATGGCAATGTATTAAGTCAATCTGTCCTTCTACAATGTGCTCTCATGAATAAATTATGTAGAACCATCCTTAAATATAGTCAACTAAACAATACATGATGTCACTGTGTCTTTATATGTTGTCAGTTTACCATTATACGATGTGCATTTTTGAATATATTATGTGGAATAATTCTTATACAGAGTCAACGATATATGATGTCAATGTTTCCCTATATTATGCCCATCTATCAATATACGATGTGCATTTTTCAGTATATTATGTGGAACCATCAGAGTCTAAATACCAGTATAGTATGAGGAATCATCCTTTTATATAGTCAACTTAGCAATATATGATGTAAATGTGTCATTTTATGATGCCAGTCTTATAAATCTCATAAATGCACATCGTATAATAGTAGATTCACATCGTATAAACTAATGTGGCCAAACATATTGTCAAACTTCTTTGTAGAGACCTGATAGCATTTGTTGAAATAGGAAACTATTTTGTTTTTGTTTGTTTGGTTATCTGCGTATAAGTCGTTGATGTCTGCTTGTGAATGTTTGGTTAATGAATGTGTTTTTTAAAATGAGATGGATATGTTTTATATTTAGTGTAAATGTGAATGATTGTATTTATATGTTTTTTGAAAAATGAAATAAATGAGAAAAAAAAGTAAATACGAAAGGGCGACGGAAAAAAGCTTACATGTCTTTTAACTGGCCCAGACAGGACACCGTATATTTCAACCTTAAACGTAGCTGACGGGTATTAATATAAATACACACCAAGTTTATTATTAGATATTAGTCGTTTTAAACGGACAGTCGATACTAAAAATAATCTACTGGTATTTAAATATATGACGTCACACTTGACAACGTATTATTGATTTATCGCTTTAGAAAATTGAAGAATGTTTAAGCTGTGAATGTAGCTTAATTATTTATTAAAGCGTCGGATATCAGTTCCAAAAAATAACAGGTATGTATTAAACTTTTATACAAATTATTCTATATAAATAGATTTAAACATATTTATGTAAATTTTTTTAACAAATTACTTTTATAAATACATTTGAAAGGGAAACCCCAAACAAGAACGGTAAATCTTTGAAAATAGTACTTTCGTTTAAAAAAAATGTTTGAGCGCTCTTTTTGATATGGCCCAGCAAATAAATTCAGTCATGTCGTAAGAAAGAAATTAGTCATTTATTCTAGTTTGACAGTATTTTACTTTCAAACTTGTTATATTTGGTGGAACTTGTTAAAAATAATTTTGTATCTGACAAACTCAGATCGTGGGAAATAATCAGAAAATGTTGAATTATTCCTACATAGCAATATTGAAATGAAAATAAATCTACATATTTTATAAGTTAAAGACACCCTTAAAATATAATAGAAGATATTCAATATAAAAGGAAGAAAAAATATTCTTTTTCATGGAAATTTAGAAAACGAAAAGCACTGAGTTAAGAAACAAATTATAATATTTCATGAGAAATTGAGAAAGGGAGTAAAACTAAAACTGAAATAGCAAAGGATTTTCAAATTCCAAAGTGTACGCTCTCGGGTATTGTATCTAAAAAAGAAATAAATTACTAATTATTCTTAATCAAATGCTTTTCAAAATGGCGGACGATGCTTAACAATCAGTTCGTTATATGTAAATCTGTTCGCTATAAAAACTCCTGATACAAGGAACTAATTACAAGGAAGTCCGGATATAAGGAACATATTTTGAATGTACCAATGAGTTCGTCATAAGCGGAGTTTACTGTAATCTGATAAAATGCATTCCTTGTTTATTTAAGGTATAGAGGGGTACATTTGCCGTTATGTTTTAATTATTTGCTCATATTTTTCAATTATTGATAGAATGTCAATCTCCTGTGGATTTAGCTACTTTTAATGAGATAACCACAGTTGCTTCAGTGCTTCATACACAATTCGGCGTTACCTCGTAAAAATGGTCTCAATTATGTTTTTGTGCTAAATTTAGTGTAATATGACACAAGTAGATTGAAATGTCTCAGGTACACCGAATAAAAAAAATCATAAAAGAATATGTACGTGACTTGTTTAAAGATATCAACGAAACTAAAAATCGCCACCAATACGCCAGTCAGGTCGTCAATTTAACGAAAAATCTTGTAAAAAAAACATTATCTTGGAAATATTTTTGATGAGGTTTAAAGTATAATGTATCAGAAACCGTATGCGCTAATTCATTTCTTCCAATTTGGTGTACAATAAAAAATGTTAGTCCATTTACTTATGATTGCGATGCTCGTTTTAGCCACTAATTTGCACAATTCTGCGTTACTTTTGCACCATTCCTGCGTTATTTGCACATCCCTGCGTTACTGGATATACACATTGTATAGCAATCAACTGAAAGGCGATATATCTTTAATACACCAACCACGTTGCCAAGCAAATCACCCTGTATTATATGTAGATTGTTTAAGAAATTAATAATGAATTATCAATCTATATAAATTTAGGAAAGCTGGAGATGGCAGAGTCTTCTGATATCGAGATTTATCGTAAATACATAGTTAAGAATTATGTTGCACTCAAGAAGTATTTGCATCCTGATCCTATTATTGATTGTGAGAAAGGCTTTGAATTACTCACCGTTACAGACAGAAAAAATATCCAGGTATGAAATCAAATAGTTTAAAGGCCAGTAAAATTTAGTTTTCTTTATTTAATTGTCAGTATTTGATGGCATGTGCGACAATGGTGAATTATTATTTTAATTGTTGATTGTAATATAATTACTTAAGAATAATCTTATTCCAAGCTTGGAACTTACATTTGAAATATTCTTTAGAAATATTTTATCATTTCTGCATTAGTTATTTAAAAAAGAGAACTTTGCAAAATATTCCTTTCCTTTAAAAATGAAACAAAAATCAAACGCTTATCGAACGTATTAAAAATGTTATCAACATTAAGTTGATATTAAGATTAACAAATGTTTATTGAAATAATACAATTTTACAGGGTAAGGATCCAACTGATAAGAATGAAACGATATTGAGAAAAGTTATATCCAAAGGTGCTAAAGGTTACACAGAGTTTAAGGAGTGTCTTAAAAAGACTTGGCAGACTGAATTATTAGAGCTGATCGTTTGTGCAGAGAATGGACAGGACACAATAGAGATAGAAAGTCGGCTTGAGGAAACTCCAGAGTATATCAAACACAGAGGTGGTAAGTTGATTATGCGCACAGTGAGTTCTGAGATGAACTTTTGTGACTGCAAGCTGTCTGTCGTCCGTTGTTCATCGTTGGTCGTTAATATATGTCTTTTAAAAACATCTCCGCCAGACCAAAATTATCGATTTATTACAAATATTACAAACCTTTTATATATATAGTATGTTTGTACCTTGTTTTTCTTTCTCTACAAAAGTTATATCAATCGTAACATAAGGTAGACGTTTGTCTCAGTCTTACATCATTTACTTTATATAGACTTGAATATAGGGAAACACAATTAAACGAAGACATGTCAATCTTTTGTCCGTAGCAATGCATAGTGAACTTCAACAAATCATTAACCATGTATCCTTGTTTGAAAGGTCAGCCAGCCAATATGATTCCATAATCTTATATAACAAGCACATCTCATTCCGAAAAAAACAATACCGTTTATTACGCCCTTTTTCATGCGATATTACATGTCGTTCTATCATAATAGACGAGCTCATTTCAGCCCTCGTCGGCGGAGTTAAACGCCGTCGGAATAACCAAGCAACGCACCCGAAATGATCGTGTCAAACTTATATAACGTTTCATAACGCCTTTTCCCCCGATACATCATGTCGTTCTAGATCTATCATAACGGCCATTTTCACACAGTGGCCTGAGTCAGGCACTGAGAGGGCTAATGACGGCCCGCAAAAGGTTTTTCGAAGCCCCCAATAAATGGAGGAAAAGCTCGATCTCCTCTATTTCAAACATGTATAACCTGTCTATGTATTTTTTATGTACAGCTCGTCTTAAACAAGGCCGTCCACTGGCAGGTGTGCAGCGGAAAACTGAACTTATCAGATTTTAAACATACGTGGTCGACTGGTTTAAGGTTTGGTCCATTAAAATTGACTCTGACTGAATATATTGTTGTTTCCTTGTGTAGTACAGCAGAAAAGACCTATATGTTATAGCTAATGACACTTTTTTTTGTACCATAAGTTTCATTCGTGGTTTTCTTTCTGGTTTCAAAGCGTTAAGTGGCGTACAGTTTAAAGTGTGATAGTGTTGATGTAATATACAGTTGGTCTGCGCTTTTAGTGGTGTGTTCCATATTTGTTACCGGACAGCTGCCATTTTTGTTTACATGTTCATAGCCCTTGCCTTGTATGGGAAGCTGGGTTTTGATAATTTTGGGGCCTTTCCTATTGAATTAAAGTGGAAACATAAGAGTAAAGGCAATTTAACACAGCATTGTCCAAAATTTGCCCTAAAATATCATTTTTGCAGTCCTATTAATAGTTTTTACTGCAACTTTTATTATAGACATGTATTTTTGTACTGTTAATTTTCGTCTGCAAAATTACCAAGTTCTACCAAACCAGGAGTACTTGAACATGGTGTTAGAGGTTACAGGTCAGGTATAAATAGTGCAAACAAACTTTTTCACTTTAAAAATAACGCAAAAATCGTACGCAAATAGAAGTATTGGTCGAGCACAGGTACGGTGTTAACGACTGAAATAAAGATATTGGTGTTCGGATTCATTTTTAGTCAGACCATTTTCTTTCATTGTAGATAGTTTTCACAACAAAATTCGAGAAAAAAATGTTTTGTATTTATCAGATTTTTTAAAAAAAATGACGCCGTCAATGTGTGTTCTTGAAAATATACAGGGAGGTAATAAGAACGGCGAGTGCATTGATGTAGAATAATGCACGCTTCTGGCCTTCTTTGTTTATATAGAAAAAATCCGATAGTGTTAGAATTATATTTTGATTTTAACATGGTTGTCAGACATTTTTAATCAAAATTGCACCGAAACAGACTTTTTGAATGTCAAATATTTACATCCTATTCTTTGTTAAAGATTACATCCTGTGTTTCAAATATTTATAACCATGTGGTAGAATTTATTTCAAAGTCTGATTGTATTGACATGTCAAATATTAATACATTCATTTATTTATAAGATTAATTTAAATATTCGATCCAACTTCGGTTTAATCAATGTAGTTAACGATAATTAATATGGAATATATAAATAATGTTTTGAAAAGTCACAGTATAAAAGTCCTTATCACATCATGTTAAATGATTGCCTGGTATACCAGTGGTCAGAAGATAACTGTTGTCATATAGTTTTTCTTTATTTATTTTTTAAGTAATTTTTTAAAAGAAATGACAAAGTGTAACGAACCAGCAAGTAGTACTCCTAATTGCGTATAAACGCTCAATAAAACTACATGTATTTAAGAGAAACAAATAAATGTGAACACATGCTTTGCCGAAAATCTACAGCATATCTGTATATTGTGTGTTTTGACCGCTATCAACAGGTTAATAAAGTCAATTTAAAGTCCGTATTAAGTCTGATTATGAATAATAGCCGAGGAATTCCGATTAGGCAAAATTAAAATGATGGAGAAATCAGGAGGAATTACTTCCTATTATCACCCCTCCATGACAACGATTTGTTTTCATATTTTTAATGTAGAAATTTCATATTAAAACGGTTCGAACATATACCGTTGTTGGCGTTTGTTCATGCAATGAACTATAGAAGAAATATTTTCTTCTTTAGCTTTTCCACAAATGTTTATTTTCAAGCACACAATGTAATAAGTATAAAGATGGAAATACTTCTTTTTTGTATATTAATTAATGCAATTATCAAAACAAAGTTTAGGTATTATTATGCATTGTTAAAGTTAAACATAGCAATTCTTATTTGCCATATGCATTATTTGTTCCTAACCATACACAATTGAAGTTGGTAAACACCTCAACATTTCATATATTATATAGAAATATTGTCACTGATTAACACTTCTTTCTACTCACTTTTCAGAACTTCAAGGCTACCTGATTAAATTCTACAGAAAAAGGTGTAGTTCAATACCTCTCTCACCACTTCTTGAAGAAATAGAGACACCTCTAGCTGGGTTCTATGTGATGCCAGATATAGTCGACGTAGAAAGAAAGTCCCAAACTTGTCATGAAGAGGAGAGAACACCGATCAATTCTTTGAAAGACATGTTTTCAACCGGAAGTGAAGATCAACAAGAAATTTATCTACCAGCTGATGCAGGTTTTGGTTTAAACATATTTTATTCTTTCTCACATAAGCATATTTACATACATGATATTTACAATCAAAACAAGAAAAGGATTAGACTGGAAGCAACCTAATGCTTATTGAAGTCTTTACCCAATGTACAATAAATATATGTGCGAAATAAGGCGAAATAAATTGTCGTTTGTTGACTTAGAAGGCTGATGTGTTACAACTTGCATCGAAAATGAATAAATAAATATAAGATATATCAATTATTTAAAGAAAAGCAAAATAAGACTAATAATGATAATAGTTTGATAAGTTCAGATAGAAAGAAGAATGAGATAGAAAAAGAAGGAGAAAAAAACCAGAAAAAATGACCTGTGATTTAACCCTTAATGATAGTTGAAAATTATTGGAGAGTCAAAGCGATTCGATTTTTCAATATATTTATGAACTGCAAGGAATATTTTCTCATTATCTGAGTCTGTAAGTGTCGTGTTACCAAACAGGATGGTTTTTAGTGAAACATGACAGTATGTGCTTATACAGTTTATCAACTGAGGTCTTATGTTTTTATAAAGAGGACAGTCGAGAAAAAAATGACGAGTTGTTTCCCTTTGTCCACAGACGCAAAGAGGCGAAGGTATGATATTCTTAGAAAAAAGGTCTTCAGCCAAAGAGCTACAGTTGGTCCTCAGACGTGTGTGGAAAATCTGGAGTTTTCTTTTGCCATAGTAAAAATATTTCGGTGGCTTTTGAATGTTAGGAGATATACTCTTTTTAAATGACGATAATGTTGGAGAGTTGCGAACGTCACTTTGAAGACTGTTAAAGGCTCGAGTTGTGGATGGCAAGAAGGAATTATAATATAGCGTGGTACGAGCTCTAGGAGCCCTGTAATAGTTTTGATTTCGTCAGTTATATGATTGTTCATTGGTGGAAACTTGAAGCATTTCAGAAAGATAAGGAGGGGCAAGATTTTTGGTCATTTTATAAAAAAGAACAAGTTTGTGTTGGTTACGACGAGATTCAAGGGATTCCCACCCTACCTCGGACATAAGTTTGGAAATTGAGACAAGTTTGGTTGCCCCCGTTACAATACGAGCTGCCTCGTACTGAACCTTTTCGATTGTTTCCTTCTCTTGAGATGTACAGTTATCAAAGTTAATATCACCGTATTCTAAAAGAGGACGAATGAAAGACATATAAATTTTTCCCAGTGAATGACGATCAAGGATAAATTTCAACTTTCGCATTACATTGATACGCTTGTAGGCTTTCTCAATTATATAGTTTTTATGAATATTCCATCTGAGATCAGAAGAGAAAAATACACCAAGATGTTTATGATGAGTAACTTCTTGAATAGTCTCACCATTCATCTCTAAGGGCGGATGGACTTGGTTGCCAGTTTTTCGAGTCAAGATAAGAGATTCTGTTTTTTTCGGGTTGAACTTTACCAACCAGGTTTTGGCCCAGTCGGAGATAGTAGAGAGATCAGAGTTAATAGTGGTAGCAGCAGAGGTAGGATCATCTACAATTAGATATAGACTCGTGTCATCAGCAAATAGGCGAATATTAGCTTGTATATCGATAACAATGTCGTTTATATACGTTAAGAACAAAAGAGGTCCCAAAATAGATCCTTGAGGTACTCCTGCTTTAACAGTGCTCCATTTAGAATGTGCGCCAGGTATAACAACGCATTGCCTGCGGCCATGGAGATAGGATGAGAACCATGAAAGCAAGTTTCCATTGATGCCCATATATTTAAGTTTAAACAATAGGCCTTTATGCCACACCCTGTCGAATGCTTTACTAACATCACAGAATACGGCACGAACTTCCTTTCCTGCGTCAATTGCTTCAGTAAAGAAATTGTACAGATATGTTAGCTGGTTTGTTGTTGAGTCACCAGGTATGAAGCCTGACTGCAAAGGTGTTAGAATGTTGTTGGAGTGGAGGTAGTTGAAGGTGTGTTTGAAAACAATTCTTTCGAAAACTTTACCAATTGTAGAAAGAAGAGATATAGGGCGATAGTTTCCAGGAATAGACCGGTCACCAGATTTGAATATAGGCGAAACAAACGCTTCTTTCCAACATATGGGAAAAACCGAAGAACATAGAGATTCATTAAACAAATCAGCTAAAGGAGTAGAAAGCTCATTATACAACTCTACAAGAATTCTATTATTTATACCGTCTGGACCTGCTGCTTTACCTAATGGTAGGTGTTTTAGGACAAGTGAAATTTCATCGGGTGTTATAGAAAAGGATTCCATATTTGATGTACAAGGTTCATTATGCTGGAAAATCGCAGTTTGCTCTGGTTCATTTAAAAGTGTTTGGTCAATAAAAAAGTCATTCAGTATGTCTGCTTTTGTGTTTTCGTCTTCAGCTAGAATATCAACATTTTGCAGAGGAGGAATAGAGGAAGAGGAACAGGGTTTTATAAATGATTTCAGGCAGGACCACCATGATTTTGTGTTTTGCTGTGATGTCTTAAGATTATTTGCAAGATTTTGTATATGATTTGCTTTAGAAATGTTTATTTTTGATACAATATTGTTGCGAAGTGTCCTAAATTGCAACCAATCGTGTTCTGTGTTGGTGCGTTTGGCTTTTTTGTAATATCTACGTCTTTGTCTGATAAGTATTTTTAAATTAGGAGGAAACCAGGGTGGGTCATTTGGTCTAATGGTTACGTTTCTGTTAGGAATACTTATTTTTGATATATCTATTATGGCTTCTGTGATTTTGTGTGCGTATATATCTATGCTTTGGTCTTTAAATTGGTGCCAATTTGTTGAAGCTGCAAGTTCTCTAAGTTGTTGATAGTTGCCTTTGTCAAACAGCCATATATGCCTTATATAAGTGTGAGTATTTGGTTTATTAAAATTTATCAGGCCAAAAACAGGACAGTGATAGCGGACAGGTTGGTCTAGACAAGGCTCACCAACACCAACAGTGTATATGAATAAAGGATTCGATGTGAGAATAATATCAATTAGTGAGTTAGAGCTTTCAGTAAAGTGGGTTGGCTCTGAAATAAGTTGAGTAAGAGAAAGTTGCTGACTAAGTGAGATTAATTTTCTAGAGGCAGTAGAATTAAGCATGTTAATGTTGAAGTCTCCCGTGATTATGATGTTTGATATACCGGAATCAACAGCAAGATTAATGGAATCTTCGATTAGGGAGTGTTGTAGAGTAGAAGTGTTAGGTGGGCGGTAGTAAGTACCATAGAGAAAGCGTTTTGTCTTGCTAACAATTTCAACCCAAATGCACTCAACTCCTTGAATTTCCAAGTCATGACGACGCAAATAACGATAATAGCTTTTTACATACAACAGCACTCCTCCGTGACTGCCCCCTAACCGATCTTTCCTTTCTGGTTCATGAAAGCCTTCAAAGATTAAATCACTGTTTGGTGTAGAACTATCTAGCCATGTTTCAGAGAAAGAGAGGATATCAAAGTCCTTAAATTCGGCAAAGAGCGTATCTAGTTTATGTTTAATGCTCTGAACATTGTAGTGCATAAAAGAAAAATAAGAGGAAATATCTGTCAAGGCTATGCTGGATTTGGAAGAAAGGGAACTACTTGAATTTGATCTAGAAACGTCTGGTCCAGGATTAGGATGCACATCACCAGAAAGGCATATCAAACACATGAGAAATCCTAAGAGTGAACATTGGATGCTTATTAGCAGAGACAATATAACATATGAGAATGTGACATTTCTGTGGTGAATTGCAGACATAGGATGTGTGCGTTTGAATCTGAATGCACAGTTTAATATTTCGTTCTGATGAGTGAGTAGAGATTGCATTATCGACATGGAAGATAGTATTGATAAGTGTAGGTATATAAGAACTATAAATATTACATAGAATCGCCAATGTGAGTTAAGTTTGAAAGAATTTATGATGACTGGTTTGGCCAATGGTTTCATCTTCATGTTATACCTTGTTCAAAACACATACAAGACACACCAGTCATCACAGAAAGTTCATTTGTGTAAATAGTGGACAGTGAAATAACTATCGTGAGTAAAGGATAAATCAAGTCGGTCTTTGAGAAGTAAAAAAAGAAAAAGTAAAAAAGAAAATTAAAATAAGTCATAATGTGTAAGTGTGATTCGTGTGAGATAGAATAATATGACAAAAGAACTAAGAGATTCATTTTAAAGTTATTAATGTGCAGTTATATTTTAATAATAAATAATTAGAAAGAAAGCGTATATAAATGTAATGAACAAAAGATCTCAATAAATTGTCAATAATTATTTGTCTTGAAAACCATTGAATAATTTAATATGTATGTAATGAACAACATAAGTAGAAAAAAGGATATCTCAATAAATTGTCAATAATTATTTGTCTTGAAAACCATTGAATAATTTAATATGTGTGTAATGAACAAAATAAGTAGAAAAAAGGAGATCTCAATAAATTGTCAATAATTATTTGTCTTGTAAACAATTAAATAATTTATGTGTATGTTATGAACAAAATAAATATAAAAGGGGAGATCTCAATAAATTGTAATTAATTATTTGCTTGTAAACTATTAAATAATTTAATATGTATGTAATGAACAAAATAAGTAGAAAAAGGGAGATCTCAATAAATTGTCAATAATTATTTGTCTTGTAAACCGTTAAATAATTTAATATGTATGTAATGAACAAAATAAGTAGAAAAAGGGAGATCTCAATAAGCTGTCAATAATTATTTGTCTTGTAAAGCATTAAATAATTTGAGATCCGCAACTACATCTTTTGGTGCAAAAATATATAGTGTGAAGTTTAGCCACTGATCCTGTCACCAGATTTTATGTAAATACATGTACACCAGTATTGATATGCACGCACGTGCAAAGTATAATGTTTTCCCGTAATTATATTTGTCTGTTACACAAATGATATCAGGCTTTATAACATCAAGTTGAAATTGCATAAATATAAATATTTTTAGTATGCATACACTTACAAAAAAGAGACAGCAACAACAAAAAATACGATATTATCAATCATACATTTATGTACATAACACCAGTAAACAGACTTCTCTAAGCCGCGTCAAAGGCGTATAAATAAATATATAACAGTACAAGTATAGAAAAGTACGTTTCCACAGCCAGGCCAAATTACACCGAGTCAGCCTCTTGGGGAGAGGTGACGGTTATATTTACATATTTAACTTAGAGCATACTTATAAATACTTGTACATGTATTTTAATAATACACCATCTAATAGCATCAATTAAAGTAACATGTTGTCACACATTACTGACATACAACACTATCAAATATCATTTAATTAAGTAATGTATGATGCTAGCAAAAACAACTCGTATAAGTTTAACTGTAGCAAGAAATAGTAAAATCACGCAAAAAAGTATCAATCAATTAGGTTTCCTATAGCTCAAGTTGTAAATTTTAAATATTTATTTATAATAGGAAGATGAAGTTTACATATCTGCGATAATTTTCGCAGTATTAAACTAAGATACTTACATGAATGTTCAAGTACAATAATACAAGTGTGTTTTTCTTTGATTAGTGAATATTAACAGTGGTGGAAAATATTTTAGTAAACATTCATAACTTTGCATACATTGCATGGTGTTTTAAATTCTGTTAAAGAATT